GATTTGTAGTGATTATAACTCTTGTATGAATTTACAGGAGCGACACCGAAATTAGTTCTTCAGATGATGAATTTGAAAGGATTGAGTATTGCACATGTCAAGAGTCACTTACAGGTTCACAATATATAATCTTTCGTATATATGTTTCTCTAAGATTATCTCAGTTGTTTTTTCAATGTTTTCATGTTTCTGATTTATAGATGTATCGGAGTAAGAAGCTTGAGCCATCATCTCGCCATGGTAAGTTCTGTCTGAAGTCATTTACTCTGCCCATCAGGTTTGATTTCCGTTGATGAATACAAATCTTGTGCAGAGATTGGAGCGATGATGGGTGGACACAGCAGGTATTTGCTGGATCACATGATCCGTATCCCTTATGGTGATTTAAGACACGTCTACAACTCTAAAACCGTTCCTTCGAGGTAAAGCTTCAGATTTGTTAGTCCCTTTTGCGGATTGCGATCAAGAAGTTTAAAACCGCATTCTTTTTCAGCAGGGTACTAAACCATGATGCGGTCTTTACAAATCTTGGAGGTAACTTTGTAATGCGACCTACGAGCTGGTTTAGCGGGTTAAGCAGAAATGAATGGAATAACCGAGACAGCAAAGAGAGTAAGACTCTTCCTCTGCTAGAGGTAACTAGCTCGCTTCTTTAAGAGTTATGGAGGAACAGGTTTGGTAGGATCAATGGAGGATATTGTAACTTTTAGTGAAATCTTTTGCAGATTAGGAGGACGACCAATGAGAAAAGAGTCCGAGATGAGCAGGGGATAGAAGTATCATCAGTCAAACGAATGAGATTAATGTCCGGAGGTGGAAATTGCAAGCAAAAACCAACAGATGAAATCAACACGATGCTCTCGCTTTCTCTGTTCTCGACATCATCGGGAGAGCCTCACATAGCATCTGACACAATAGAGACATGAAGGTTATATTTTATAAAGAGCATCACTCATTTCAGGATCTGCAAAAGACTTTTCCTTAGCCATTTCTTTGGGATGAGTACTTAGCCAGGATCTGGTTCAGGGCTTGATTCAGATCCTGTAAGTACTTTTTTCTTTCGAATAATCTGTAGAGTTTGTATTCTTAGAGCAAATCAGTGGATACAAATCAAATCGTCGAATGCAAACAAACACACATGTAATAATATGTTTCCTCCTCAAAACCACCAAATCAAACAGCATGAGAGTTTGATGAAACAAAACAAATCACTCAAAACAGAAAGAAGAGAATACTTAAGCCCGTTTGGTTACGGCTGTAGCTTGTAGATTTTTTGCTGGAAGTTTTTATGTTGTAGTTGTAAGATATTTGCTGTAACTTTTAAAAATGAAAGTTTGATTGGTAATTGTGTGCTGTAGAATAATAAATTTATCATTTAAATTACAAAAAGTAATTTTATTAACATGTTCAAAATACATCATTTGAATAA